GCTAAACAAAATTGACGCATGCGACGCATCAGTCGCTTTGCAGGAATCGTGTAGCTGTTACATAAGTTATTGCCCTTATTCCCAGGCCAAACTGAACTATAGGTTACGTTACCGTTGGATGCCATACTATTGCTGGGTGACGAATTCCTGGTGGTGCGAGTTAAGGCTCGGGAGGTAAGCAGAAAGGCCACATATTTTCCAGATATACGGTATCTGTCATTGAATCAAGGCCGAATGATTGCGATATCCAAAGTATAAATTCTGGATTTAAAAAACAAAACAAAACAACAACAAACGGTTGAACGGGGTTTTCGGGATTTGTACCTGTTTGATTTTCATCCTTGAAAGGTCCCCGTGTGGGTTCCGGGGGCCCATTGTTGGTGGGAGGAGAGGATAGACCTACTGAACCCAAACAAGCATGTCTTTAGAATCGACTAATTTGGGATTTCCTTCTAAGTCTGAATTAATCTACCTGAGAGACAATGAACCAATAGTCTGCATAAAAAAAGTTAAATCTGTAAAACGGACGTGCACGCGACACTCGGGTTCTGGAACAAGTCTAAATCAAAAGGTGGGTGAACCACCATAACTTTCGGCCGGAGTTTACAGATGGTGAACGCGAAGAAGAAAAAGAAGAAGAATATCATTAATATTCCTACAGACAGCAATGGCGGAAGAGAAAAACAACATGCCCTTTCCTGTTATAGGATAAGGAAGAAATTCTTGGCGGTTCAGCGATTGAAGAACACTGCGCTGGGTGCCTGTAATCGATCGGCAGACCTGTCCCAGGTTGATATCAGAAATAATCCGGCCTGAGTTCCATAAATCGCCTGCTGGTTTGAAGTGGTGCGAGCAATTATTTTCTAATTATTTATACATTTCAGCTTAAACATCGTGGTTTATGAAAGAGGGGGAGGGGGAGAGGGCGTGTATGCACAGCTGGGGAAAACGGGGTGGATGTTGTAGTATAGGGGCTGCACGTGGTGTGAGAGACTGGGGTGAAGAATAAAATATAAATCAAGCACTCTTTCCCAAGTCTTCGGGTGTATTGTTAATGTAGAGCTAGATCTATATTTTTTAAAGACTAATCAGCACTCATTTTGTTAATCTGGTCGTGGTCTTCATTCACTGTAAAATGAAAACATATCAGGTGATAGCACACACTCTTGTCGTCCAGCCCTATTTATGCCCTGAAATGTCCCCAATGGGTTATTAATTCTCATAGTTGCTGTTCACTGCCCATACATGGTCTTTATAATTTGTAAATCTTTTCCATCAACTTTTCCAGTAATTTGATTGTCTCTTCACTTTTCAAACAATCAAATGCTTTAGTATAGTCAGTAAAGCTTAAGTAGTGATCGTAAAAACAAAATATATATATATATATATATATATATATATATATATATAACTCTTTCCAAAAGAGTCCCGAGGGTGTATATGGCATTGCTTATACCCTTCCCTTCTACAAATCCACACTGTTTTTCACTAATGTCTGGTTTAATCTTGTTCCTTATTCTCGTCATAATTATTATCAGTAACATTTTTATCACATGGTTCATAAGGCTTATTGTACGATAATAGTCTGTACTTTTGAAAGTGCCTGGTTTCTTTGGCAGAGCAATAAATATAGATTGTAATAAGTCATTAGGAATGTTCCCACTATCATAAAATATGTTGCAAGTTAATTAAACTGTAGTTTAATTCCGATAACAATGGTGAGCACAGATCGGACGTGCCCCGGCCTAACAAAATGGGAATTTCCGTAGACCTGTTCGGCCTTAATGCTGGAGCTGGCCGTGGTGGTAGCGAACTGCCAGACATGGAGAGTGATGACCTCTACCCAATGCGCCGCCCTAGGCCCAAGAGGAAAGATTAACTTACTAACTGATACCGCTTGTTAAAGTTTTCCCATCCAGAACTGTGGTTGGTAGGATTAACGTCTCATGGATACAAATCAAACAGTTACAAATCCCGGAAACGATGTTCAGTATGGCACATTTATGTCAAGGCGCTAACACGAAGTAACCTGTAGTTCCATAAGGGTGGGTCTCTTGTTGTGCCGTTGATTCCTTTCACTGTAATGACGTTTGTCACTGGCGCATTAGTTATTCCAGGCCACAATTCGGCAAACATGTATGCGATCTGTTACAGTGTTCAAGGACTGCGTTTAACTACGCTTTTGTAAGAGTGTAAACGGCCTTTTCTACGCCAGTGGCATCTCGGGCATATAGGGCTAGGTCTGTATTTTTTTAATAGATCAGTATAATGATGGGTGATGTCAGCACCACACTGACCGCCTTTACTTCCCAGGAGATTACTTGGAACCCATTTTAGGGCTGGGTCGACCTGGTAGCTGAGGTCATTTTGAAAACAATATCCACCGTGATGCGGAAAACACTTTAGATGCATCATAATTAGTTTAGTAAGTCATCTGTTTCTGGGTAGGGGGACTGAATGGTCTCGGGGTATGGAATCCGCGTCGAGTGCTAGAGGTCCCGGGTTCAAACCCCGGTGAAGGCTGGGGTAGCCTTCGGCGCTGTTCTGGCAAAACTTGGAGTTAAAAATCTATCCAAAGTATTTCAGGATCCTCGCCGGTGCTACAGAGCCTGTTTACTGTGCTGAGAATCTTCAGACTCAGGCTTGAGTTAGAAGAAGAACGGAGCACTTATGGGTTACTACCCTTGTGCCATGATGTTGATCCGTTGTATAAGCACAAACATGAATGAGTAGGACACGTGTTTCTGGTTCACATACGATCACCAGTTAATCTGCTACATTGCAAGATGAACTGGTTCTCATAAGCACGATTTCCTAATTGTGATTTAGGATCTTAAGCTTTCCCCCTACCTAGTGTCATGCGTATACGGGATGCACGGGAGGCAATCAGTAGAAAGCTGGTTCAACAGAGTGACAAAGGGATATAAGACTACAACAACAATCCGTTATTATTGGGGAGATAGTTATTTAGCAACTGATGTTATCATCCATCCACATTTGATATTCACTGACTGTCGTTACTGATCAGCAAAGAGACAACAAACATCTATGTAGGTTGTTCTTTGCAAAACATCACTATCAGTACGCTACTATGTCTGCTACCAACATTCCCGCTTAGACCAGCTAGATCCCCGTCCCAATGTGGGACGCAGTTTCTTGTAGTTTTAAAGCCCCCACCCCGGCATTCGTTAGTGGCCCTAGTATAAAACCTAATGGTTAAACGGGGTTTCTGGGATCTGAGCCGGGCGATTCTCATCTGAGTGGTGACACTTTGTTTCACCGGGTGTTTAACGATCGTTGTGCGGTCCCAGTGAGGTTAAATTTCATTGCTTCATTCATATTCCTGTTCTGCCTTTTAGCGTCTGGTTTTGAAGAGACATCAGATGCGAACTTTAGTACCTGCTGTGCAGATGCTGGGTATTTACAGTGTCAGAGATTTTATCTAACCATGGCTTGCATGGTCGAGCTCTAGTTCTGCTTCGACAGTGTCTAAATGACAGGGCTCTCTGTGTCTGGTAGTAATCTTGACACATGTCCAAACCATTTGATCTATTGATCTGCTTCCATTATGTCTAAGTGACAGGGCTGTCTGTGATGCACTGTCTGATGGTAGTTTTAACACATTTCCAGACTATTCAGTATGTTGTCTCTTGATGTAGTTTAGTACTGGTTCCTCGGAACTTCTTTCCTGGTATCATCAGCTATGCCTGGCATACTCTTATAATACTGTCTGTATATGCTTTTTCAATAAATGTACTGATTTTCTTTTAATGAACACAAAATTTGTTGATTAAAAAAAATAGTTTTCTCTATTTTCAGATTCTACAGTCATGTGTCTTCAGGGACATTCAAAATGAAAACGGCACTTGACTCTTTCACCGGCCATTTGCAAACATCATCATCATCATCAGTTTTTCCGAGCACTCCGACTTTGATAACAGCAGTTGTACATCATGCAAACTATACATGAGAATGTTAAGGAGTCTTGAAGTTTAGAGGAGTGAGAGTTTCTGATGCCTGACAGATATTCTTTTACAGATACAGGAGTCGTTTCAAAGTAGCAGAGGTCATCTCGTTCTGGCTAGGGGGCGTGGCATTTGTCATTTGGAGACATCATAAATCATTTCAGTGCTGTAAAAGTAACTTCAGAAACATTGATATTTCAGCTGTCATATGTGCTTGTGCTAATAAATTTCATGTGCGTGTTATAACTTTGTGGTTGAAACTGATATGAAATTACTTTGTGAAGATAAAACTGTTATAAAGTTATTTTGTGAAGTCTTCAAACTGATATAAAGAACTTTGCTTAATTGCTCTTCACTACATTTAACAAGCACGCAAGTTGTTGAATTTCTCAGTTGATTTATCACATTCCAGATATCACAGATTCGCAGTTATGATCTGAATCACCCAAAAGTTCAAGGATAATGATCTCTAGTGCCAAAAATTGTCATTCAGGTTTCCTGTGAATGGGAGGTCATGAATAGTAAACAGTAATACATTTGTTTAAGAAAGGGCAATAGATGTAAGATCTGTGATTTAATTGTTGTTTGGAAGGTAATCATTTGATAACTGATTCATCCGTGGTTTACGTTGCTTTCATCTGTTCGAAGTGTATGGATGCTATTGTTTCACACACAGGATTACAGTTTCTGTATTTGGAAGAAGCAGTTCTGATTCGGTTACATTTTCTCAGTTAATAAAATCTTTGTTTAAAGAAAATAATTTCAGCAACAGAAAATATCACTGCAGAAAGAATTTCAGTATATTAACGACAAGTAAGGTCCTTTATCTAACCATCTGATCAAAGATAGACTTTTATCATATAATTTTTATGAAAAGGAACTAAATGTGTACGTCTGCTAGTTCTTGAGACTAGCACATTTTTGTTATACTGGGCACAGAGACCATAGCATTGCAGCATTGATTCAGTCACTTGTAAGTGTCAGTTTCCAGTAGAGTCGTCGGGGCATGCCAGGTACCAGCATGTGGTCACAGTTATGATTCCCTTCATGTCCAAGAAGAAGAAGTTCAAGTTCCAGGTGAGCATGGTGTCTACGTGTGCTTCTCTGTCTGTCTCTCTGTCTGTGTCTGTCTATCTGTCTGTCCGTCCGTCCGTCCGTCCATCTGTCTGTCTGTCTGTCTGTGTCTGTCTGTCTGTCCGTTTTTCCGTCTGTCTGTCCGTCCATCCATCCATCCATCCGTCCGTCTGTCTGTCTGTCTGTGCTTCTCTGTCTGTCTGATGTCTGTCTTTCTGTCTGTCTCTCTCTCACACATACACACACGCGCAAAGCAACGGTAGCATTTAAAAGTTAGTTTTAGTTGCGTATCCTTTACAGGGCATTGCAAAAACAACCCCAGCATTAATTGTTTGGGCTGTTGTGGTTTTTCCAAGCAAATTTATATCCAGTAGTTTGCCATTTCTTTCTGGACGGTCAGCTTCTCGATACCACTGTTGAAACCAACGCAAGGCCCGCAGCTGAAATAGAATCCGACACCTCAGCATAACGAAGCTCATTCACAATGCCTAAGCCACAGACACTGACTGCATTGAAAAGACTGAACAAAATATAGAACTCTTTTAAAACCAAATGCCTAAGGAAATTGAGAACATTAAGTAATCAATAAAAGAAAGCGGAGAAAAATTATAAATGACAGGACAACCGCTTGGCTTGTATCAACAGTTACAGAAAAAAAAATGTGGCAGTATTTTTTGAAACATTATGAGGAGAAGCAGACATAGAATGACACGACAGGCACTGAAATAAAAACAGATAGAGGAAACATGGATATCTAGGAGAAACCCAGTGATGAACATTGTTTAGAGAAGCCTATTGTGCTGGACTGGATTCCATCCATGATGTTGAAACGATTGGACAGGGCAAAATAGAATAGATGACTAGACTAGGAGCTATTTGTGACATATAGTAGCATGATGTTCTGGTTTACTGAGAAACTACTTTCAGGATAGTTACCTTTTTTAGGAAGGATGGTCAGAGTGACAAGCATCTTTCAGAGGTCCTGGGTAGTTAGTGTTTCTTTGGATTTTTTCTGCAGGTAATGCCGGTGTGTTGGAAAATGAGCAGGCAGAAAGACTGGCCGGTTCTGCGCCACTTGATCGTTTATTGATGTATGACAAGCTAGATGTTGTGAGGGCTCCTTGGGAGCAAGGGAACAGTACAGAGGTACAAATAGATCATTACAGTCTGAGGAGAATGGAGCTGTGAGGAGTTACTAGGGGATCCAGCCGACGCTCAACACTCAAGGGAAAGACGAGACAGATATACAGTCAGACAGATACTGGTGCCATTGGAATTGAAACACTTTGCTTGCTGCTGAAAATGGGTTGCGGTGTGCTTATGGGAGAGTCCCGAGTGCTGTGATGTCGATCTTTTATGAAGGGTGGTCAGTGGGTAACTGAAGATGGCTGTGGTCTTGTGTTTCATTGCAGGTACATCTTGGGCTGGAAGAGCTTGCTTCTGTACCATTTGTAACAGGCATTTTGTTTGCCAAGGTCCGGCTGAATGATGGGGGCAGTTTCATGGACTTGTCCTGTAGGTAAGAGCACAACTCCTTTTTCTAAAAATTGTTGTCTGTCTTTCAGAGACCATCAGCCAAGAGAAAGCAAACTCTTGATCCTCGCCCATCCAGGGCAGCTGGGTACAAGTTACTATGTGATGAAGTCGTAGGGTATCTATTTTATAACCATCATAGAAGGTTAATTCTGAGCTGTAAATAGCACAACTTGATCATAGGTCCCAAACTTTTTTTTAATAAAAGATTTTAATGTAATAAATTTACACCCTCCCCCTTCAGGCTAAGTGACCCTGAGGCTCACTAAGAAGGTGGGGAAAGCACTCATAGAAGCCCTGATAATAGTCACACTAAATTACCCTGTGTTATGGGGCTGCTTATTTTGTTGGTCGGCTCTGGGGCTAAGTCGATGTGAACGCTTTGTAATGCCGGGGCCATAACTCACATATATTGGATAAAACTGTTGGATGTTAAATTCCTAGGTTACATTAAAAGAGGCTTCAGTATATTTGTTTCCTATCCTGCGATATATTAACAGTTAATTTACTGCCACAGTGGCTTTCTCCTCCTCCTCCTCCTTTCTTTGAACACCTTGTTTATCTTGTTAGCATTTTTGACCTATTTGGTTTTACAGAAGACTGATTAAAATTATGTGGACAGCCAAAATGAGTAATCCAGATGTGTTGAAAGAACTGAAGACTTATAAAGACAACTTCTATTACAAATGTCAGAAAAATGTAGTCAGCATTTTTGGCCAGGTTGTGAGAAGAAAGAAACTGGAACATGTTGTGACAACTGGAAGATTTCTGGGAAAAGAGGTAGAAGATGTTAACATGCAAAGATTCTTGACAGCCTTTCATCTTAGCATGGAGGGTTGTCAGCAAGGAGGAGTGTCAGCAGGGAGGGGTGTCAGCATCTAAACTACATGCTGTTGGAGATCCTGAGCTGTGGAGAGGCTTGATGGCCAGTTGGCCAGGTACTTGGTGTTCATCATCAGCAATCTGCTGCCTGATGATGGGTCATTTACTGCAGCAGCATTCTTCCCTTTTGTCTTTGAAGATACGGGAAAATACGGGAACACACGTACTGGACCAAGGAGATAATCTGAAGATCATATATGAACGAATGTTGAAAAATAACATGTGTAAGAATGTGTGAACGAGGTTTGGAATGTATCTGGCAAGGAGGGATGTATGAGAGGAAGAGAACTAGGTTTGGAATGTATCCGGCAAGGAGGGATTATGAGAGGAAGAGAACTAGGTTTGGAATGTATCCGGCAAGGAGGGATGTATGAGAGGAAGAGAACGATGTGTGGAATGTATCCGGCAAGGAGTGATGTATGAGAGGAAGAAAACGATGTGTGGATAATAATTGTGTGCTAAGGGAACAGTTAGCATCTACACTTTAAAAGGCATTTGTTGCGGGAGACGGGGCATCTGTGCATATGCCCGGTGTGCTACAATGTCGATTTTTAAATCAATAATCAGTCTTTAAAAACTGTCTTTGTCTTGTGGATGTAAGTGATCTGCTACATAATGGCGGTTCCTTTACCGCAACAGCATTCTCTGTCTTTTTGTCTCTGAAACCTGAGGAGGCTTTGTAGGTTTGTAGGCTCAGACACCCCCTTTAACATATACATCAGCATTCTGCGGTTAATAGTGTCAGTCCTGTGATTGTTAACAAGACTTCTTATATGCCCAGTGCGCCTCTCATGTTTGGCTGGGCTGATCTTTACTTCCAGGTCTACATTTTTATCACTGACAAGCTGTTCCCAAAACCTTCCAATCGTCCTATCTCTCTAAGGGCATCAACAATTTTGGCACGATCCATATGCCGGCCATTTGCTGCTAAGGCAGACTTGGACATTCTATCAGATCTTTAATTGCCAAGATCAGCAGCATTCCGTAGGACAAAGATTCAGGTAACTTCTTGCATTGTGGAGTTTCCTGATGACTAAATCCACCGTCTGTGTACAGAGCCTGCCTTGACCTGCCAGAATAAGCTCGTAGAATCACTCATCACGCACACTCAGGACTGTTTTGTCAGAGAACTGACTACTTCTGTTTCTCATTTAGATTGTTTTTCACATAATGATGGTTTCATTGTTTTTCATATAATGGTGGTTTGATTGTTTTTCACATAATGTTGGCTCATTTATTGCCACAATATTTTTCTTCTTTTGTCTTTGAAAAATGTGGTTAATCTTGCGGATGTCATCACAGGGAAGAGGTTCACAACAACTGCGTGCAGTGGAACAGCAACTTTGAGTTTCCCTGTAAGATGACTGCAAACTTATCCAGCGGAGTGCTGGACCCTTGTCATGTGAGAATCTCTGTGAGAAAGGTAACTAACTACAGTAATGTTTGCCAAGTTGAACTCATTGTTAATGTTTCAGTAACTTTTAATATCTAATATTTGCGTCTTCTTCTTTTTCTCCTCCTTCTCCTCCTCCCCTTCTTCTTCTTCTTCTTGTTAATGTTTCAGTAATGTATAACATTTAATATTTGCTTCTTCTTCCTCCTCCTCCTCCTTTTCTTCTTCTTCCTCCTTTCCTTCTTCTTCTTCTTCTTCTTTCCTCCTCCTCCTCCTCCTTTCATCCTCCTTCTTTCTCTTCCTCCTCCTCCTCATCATCATCTTCTTCTGCTCCTCCTCTTTTTTTCTTCTTCTTCTTCCTCCTCCAATGGAGCGTAGACCCTCAACCAAATCATGTCAAGTCGTCCTTTCCTTTTCTATCGCATGCAGATCAGCCCATGTACTCCCCATCTTTTAACTTCTCTTTAGTTCCTATCTCTGATGTGTGTGTGTGGTTTTTTTTGGGGGGGGGGGGGGGGGGGGGGGGGGGGGGGGGGCGGGGGGGGGGTGGGGGGGGGGGGGGGGGGGGGGGGGGGGGGGGGGGGGGGGGGGGGGGGGGGGGGTGGGGGGGGGGGGGGGGGGGGGGGGGGGGGGGGGGGTGGGGGGGGGGGGGGGGGGGCTACATTTATTTCTATGCACTTGTGGGTTCTAGTTAAAACCCTTTCTAGTTAAACATCTAATATTTGTTTCTTGTTTACCATTTCTACCTGTTATACCGCTCTTCTTCTTAGAGTTTCACCAGCTGTAGCTTTCGGCAGAAAGTTTTAGTTGTTTGTCCACTTCTGGACTTTGGTCTTGTTACAGAACTTGAGTTTTGTATGCACATTCATTTTATAGATCTGGTTTATTCGTATAAAACTAGGGGAAATAATTTAGCAATTTCATCTGCTAACATTTTTTTACACTGATCTAAGGGAAGTAACTTTCATGTATCTACAGGAACTAAAGGGAGGAAAATCACACCAAAAACTAGGCTATGTCGACTTAAATCTGGCCCAGTTTGCAGGGGGAGGGAAGATGACCAAGAGGTATCTTCTGGAGGGCTACGACACCAAGCACCGACAGGACAACTCTACCATCAAAATCAGCGTGGAGTTGTTGCTAATCTCTGGGGATCCTGTGTTTAAAGTGTGAGTCTCTCTTATGGACTTGTCTGTCCATTATGTTGTTTTGTGTGTGTGTACGTGTGTGTGTGTGTGTTTATCTCAGGACTTCAGGCTGCTTTGTAACCACCGGGGATTGCAATATAACCTAAAAGTCGAACAAGGTTTTTGGAATCTGTACCTGGGAGGATTCTCATCCAACTAGTTGTTTGATGTTAGAATGTGGACTGTCAAATATTAACACCCCCCCCCCCCCCCCCCCTCCTCAGAGCCAGTAATATTATACTTCCTCTGATCCTTGGTCAAATGTAAAGCTGAGAACTCAGTTTCATGGTGTCATCCTATACCTTGGGGATGTTTTTATACATGGGAAAAATACAGTATATTTCGGTCCTCACTACCACTTCTTCTTCTTCTTCTTCTTCTTCTTCTTCTTCTTCTTCTTCTTCTTCTTCTTCTTCTTCTTCTTCTTCTTCTTCTTCTTCTTCTTCTTCTTCTTCTTCTTCTTCTTCTTCTTCTTCTTCTGCTGCTGCTGCTAGTGCATTCATTCATTCATTCATTCATTCATTCATTCATTCATTCATTCATTCATTCATTCATTCATTCATTCATTCATTCATTCATTCATTCATTCATTCATTCATTCATTCATTCATTCATTCATTCATTCATTCATTCATTCTTAAAAGAGCATTGGCTCTCCTGGCTATGGTTTACAGCTAGGCTGCCTTATTTATATCTTTTGGTGCAACATTTCTGATTTCAGCAAACCCCCTAATTAGGCTCAGGACCCCTAACCACCCTCTTTCTCAGGAAAAGACATCAGAACCGACACGTGGACCCTCACTGATGGTAGATAAAGATTTTGAGAGTAGACTTAATGGTTTGTAGTTCTGTGAGGATGATCTTGTCAACTAACTAGACTAGGATAATGGATATCTAGACTAGCATAATAGATATCTGGACTAGGATAATGGATATCTAGACTAGGAAAGCAGATAACTAGACTAGGGTAATGGATATCTAGACTAGGAAAGCAGATAACTAGACTAGGATCATGGATATCTAGACTAGGAAAGCAGATAAATAGACTAGGATAATGGATATCTAGACTAGGAAAGCAGATAACTAGGATAATGGATATCTAGACTAGGATAACTGATAGCTAGACTAGGAAAACTGATAGCTAGACTAGGATAGCGGAAAACTAGACTAAGATAATGGATAACCAGACTATGATAGCAGATAGCTAGACTAGGATAACGGATAACTAGACTAGGATAACTAGACTATGATAATGGATAACTCTAGACTAGGATAACTAATAACTAGACTAGGATACGGGATAACTAGACTATGATAACTTTTCATTTATGGAGAAGTTTGAGGTTTTGAACAATGGATCAACATCATGGCACACCCATAAGTGCTCCGTTCTTCTTCTAACTCAAGTCTGAGTCCGAAGCAGCTCACCACAGTGCACAGGCTCCTGAAATACTTTAAGTAGATTTTTAACTCTAAATTTTGCCCGGGCAGTGACATTATGCAGCTCTTTTTGATTTCCAACTGCAAAGGGATTATTTACGTGCGCAACAATGCACACGGGCGTCTGATCTCACTACCCAGAGACCAGCGGGAATAACTAGAATTCCAAGTCCACGCAAAAAAGTCACAGCCCTTACTGGGGATGGAACCTGAAACCTCTAGCACTTGAGGCCGACACCATGCCTCGAGACCATGCAGCCCCCTCTAATGGAAAGCGTTACTAGAGAATGTTTGTTGATTTCATTTGTTGATGTTGCTGTCGAGTCTTTTTTTCTTTCTTTAAACTAATCTTAAATTGTCTGCTTTCACTTAATCATAAGTTGTATCCTTGATGTACTGGTGATTTCAGGCCTTCGAACCACGCAGTTACTCAGAGTTCCTCTGCCATTGGCCATTCCTGTGACCACATTGACCTTCGGCCTACAGACAACCTCAGTGAGGATAGTCTAGCCTCAAGCAGCAGTGGGTTTAGCAGCCTCACTCGTCGAGGGAAAGTGGGTTCTCTAATTTCAGGTAATTTATAGATTAGTAGTTATGAGGGAAAGTGAGTTCTCTAGTTTCAGGTAATTTACAGAGTAGTAGTTGTGAGGAAAAGTGGGTTCCCTAGTTTCAGGTAATTTACAGAGTAGTAGTTGTGAGGAAAAGTGGGTTCTCTAGTTTCAGGTAATTTACAGTAGTAGTTGGCACTCGTCGGCTCTGTGGCTAAGTAGATGCGAACGCTTCGCTTCGTAATGCCGGGATGCCAGGTTCGATCCCAGCTGCGAGCAATGCGCCTTGCGTTGGTTTCGACAGTGGTATCAAGAAAGCCAACTGTCCAGAAAGCAATGGCAAACTACTGGATGTAAATTGCCTAGAGAAACCACACAACAGCCAGGGGCTGTTAGGGTTGGTTCTGCAACGTCCTGTAAAGGATACGCAACTAACTAAGTTGGCACTCAGTGGGTGTTGTTGTAAACATCACATCTGCTGCCTTTACTTCCCAGGACTTTGCCTATGGTAAATGTGTGAAATGGCAAAACATGATGGCTAGTGCTTATTCATGGGCGTATAATGATGATGACGACATCGAGGTTTATACCTTCTTTTGATGGCTTTAAGGTTTCACTCGGAGCCACAGTGGTGCAGTGGTTGGTCGCTTGCCTCGGGCCCAAAGGTTGTAGGTTCAAAACAGCATTGAGCTGTATACCCCCCCCCCCCCTTATCCTCCATGACTTTGGCTGCCAGGGCGGCCCAGCTTACAATAAAATTTAAAAAAAAAGTAAAGATCCCTTTTCACACCTTTAGGCAGATCAGGCATATGGGAAGAACGCCCATATTTTTACAGACCATCGGCACTAGGTGGGTAATGTGGTCAGCATTACGCCGGCCGTCTTTACTTCCCCAGGACAGCCATCTTGGTACCCATTTTTAGGCTGGGTCGACCTATGACGCACCACATCATGATTAAAATCCACGCAGCCAGCAGTGGGTTTCGATCGCGGTACGTTGCAATTACAAGTCAGATTCACAACGCCTAAGCCACGGCTGCCGCTAGATAAAATCACAGGAAGTAAAGGCGGCCGGCGTGATGTTGACCACATTGCCAATAAATGCTGACTAGTCTTTAAAAAATATAGGTCTAGCTCTATATATGCTCAGTATGTCTTCTTCTTCTTCTTCTGCGTTCGACATCTGTCATGCTACACATTGAGTCATGTCTGGGTCACAAATAGGATTGTGCATTTAAGGTCGCCACCGGTCCCCCATAGCTTCTCTCGCAATGTGGATACCCTGGGCCAGATCCACAGTCTTTGCTGGGAGAGGTAAGGGCAGTACTGCAGTATGTGCTCAGGGGTCTGTCTTTCTGCTCCACAATCACAGGCAGCAGATTCTTTTATGCCTATCCTGTACAGGTGTGCTCGAAGTCCACAGTGTCCAGTCCGAAGTCTAAAAATTGATGTTTGTTCTTTCCTGTTGAGTTTGTTTATGCTGTCACTCTCTGGTCTGTAATATCTATTCTGCCTTCTCCACTCCCGCTTGAAAGACTGCTTTAGCGCTGTTTTGGTTTCAGTATGTCTGAAGATGTGGAAAAGGGTCTTTTTAAGGTTTCACCAACGATACCATTTATACTGTTTGTCAGAACTATAAAAAATTTAATGTGATCACGCATTGACTGAGACCACATATATACTTAGATCACATATTTACTGTTATCACATATTTACTCTGACCACATATTTACTGTTATCACATATTTACTCTGACCACATATTTACTGTTATCACATATTTACTGTTATCACATATTTACTGTTATCACATATTTACTCTGACCGCATATTTACTGTTGTCACATATTTACTCTGACCAATTATTTACTGTTATCACTTATTTACTGAAATCACATTTTTACTGAGATCATATATTTACTCTGACCACATATTTACTGAGATCACGTGTTTACCATAATCACATATTTACCATGATCACATATTTACTGAGATCAGATATTTACCATGATCACATATTTACTGAGATCACATATTTATTGCCATCACATATTTACCATGATCACATATTTACTCCATATTGTTATCAATCTATACAAGATGGTGTCGAAGGCGAAGCACCCGCTGATGGTTTGGGCAACTCCCGCAGTGCTAGCTACATTTCCCAGCATTCTCGTGGCTCTGGGTATGTCTTTACTTACCGCATTCATCGTTGTGTACTTAATTAGCATCATTTTTGTCAGCCAACATTGTCATCAGCATCCTCTAGGTAGGTCAGCAATAGTTTGAGATCTTAAGCAACGTTGTCATCAGCATCCTCTAGGTAGGTCAGCCTTAGTTTGAGATCTTTAGCAACATTGTCATCAGCATCCTCTAGGTAGGTCAGCAATAGTTTGAGATCTTTAGCAACATTGTCATCAGCATCCTGTAGGTAGGTCAGCAATAGTTTGAGATCTTTAGCAACATTGTCATCAGCATCCTGTAGGTAGGTCAGCCTTAGTTTGAGATCTTTAGCAACATTGTCATCAGCATCCTATAGGTAGGTCAGCAATAGTTTGAGATCTTAAGCAACGTTGTCATCAGCATCCTGTAGGTAGGTCAGCAATAGTTTGAGATCTTTAGCAACATTGTCATCAGCATCCTGTAGGTAGGTCAGCAATAGTTTGAGATCTTTAGCAACATTGTCATCAGCATCCTGTAGGTAGGTCAGCAATAGTTTTAGATCTTTAGCAATGTTGTCATCAGCATCCTGTAGGTAGGTCAGCAATAGTTTGAGATCTTTAGCAACATTGTCACCAGCATCCTGTAGGTAGGTCAGCAATAGTTTGAGATCTTTAGCAACATTGTCATCAGCATCCTGTAGGTAGGTCAGCAATAGTTTGAGATCTTTAGCAATGTTGTCAGAGATCACCTTAGTCTTCTTTCTTCACCTTTAGAAGGGCAGTTGGCACATTGTGTTGTAGTTTACAGCTAGGCTATGATATCTGCATCTTTCGAGCCAACACGTATGATTTTAGCAAGCCCTAAATTGGTAGCCTTTTACGACATGCAAAGCTGCCATGGTGTAGTGGCTAGACATTTGCCTTTCACGCCTGAAGCTTGTGGGTTCAGATTATGATTTCTTTCAAAAATGATCTTGGCTTTTATCTCGACCCAACCTTAAATGGGTACCAGGTAACGTTCTGGGAAGTAAAGGTGGTCAGCATGGTGTTGACCTCATCACCCACCGAGTGAGGATTGGTCTGAAAAAATGTCTAGCACTGTGTACCCCAGTTCGCTTAAGGGGGTGCACAAGGTTGCTTTTATGACACGCTTACTGGAGGACAGTGAGCCTTTTCTTCACACCCCCCATGGGAAAAACTAGTCAGATCTTCTCAGAACAGTTAGATTTGTGTTCATTGACTCACACCGTAATGACAGACTCAGTATCATGAATATGACAGTCACCGTGTTTTGGAAAGGTTATGAAAAGAACAACACTTCAACACTTTGTGACAACTGGAGAGAGAGAGAGAGAGAGAGAGGAAGACAGCACTAGAAGATTCTTAACAGCTGTTGGTCATGGCATGAAGAGGTGTCAGCACATAAACTGATATATTCTGCTTGAGATTGCAAGTTGTGGAGAGGCACGATTGCCCATGCCAGTCTACTAGATACTTATCATCATCATCATAAACTCACTAATTTAAAGAAAAAACACAATAAAACCACTGTCACTTGCTGAGAGAAAGAAAGTTAAACAGTTGGTATAGAAACTGCACATGGCACAGTGATTTTAGTCACAAATGTTAGAAAAAGTTAAGGCGGTTGTGATGTGTAAAATATTGCAGCTATGCTCTAACAGGCACATTGCATTTACATCAGTCAGATGAAAATGAAGAGCCTATACTCTTGTGCACAGTTGAAACATCGACAATAAAAAACAAGCTGAGAGAGAAAACTTATGTCAGCATGTATCTGGTTTCTGGTGAAAATCCAAGAGTACACTGGCCATTCTTTCTCATTGACAGGCAATGAAAATGGGTTATTAAAAAAAAAAATTGTTTTTCTGAAATATGTCTTTTACTTGACCCACCTGTTGCTAATATTTGATACAAAACTATGTCTATGTGGTTGCCTAAATGTTTGATTTGAATTGACTTGGTTAAGCATTGTCCCCCTTATACATTTTGGGTAATCTGTTTCTTTTATGTAACGGTTGTTTCTTATTTCATGTACTTTGATATAACTTTTGTTTTCTATTCATTCAAGACCGCCCCCCCCCCCCCTAAAAAAACAAACTATTTTAGTCTACAATGTTCAGCAATTGCTGTAGATCTTATCTGTTGTGAGCTATCCCCCTGGATATTTCCTGCCTTCTGCATTTAACATTTAATGCATATGCATGCTGTTGGATTTGCTAAGACTGTAGTCTCTATCAGATTTCTTTCCCTTTTTTTTTTAAACAAGGTGTTTTCATTGGCACATGACAGGGCAACTATGGGGGTGACCCGTATGCTGTGAAGTTGGAATTGCAATTACCTGGTTATCATAAGATAGCAACACGTTCTCATAAAGTAGCTAACAAGTGGAGTGAGAATGGGTACAGGTGATCTCATCTCATAATGCCCCCCCCCCCCCCCCCCATGTGTGAGTTCCGGGGCCCCATTGTGGGGCAAACAAGAATAGACCCACTGCCTCCCCAAAAGCATGTCGTAAGAGTCGACTAATTGGGGAGCTTCCTCTGAAGTCGGAGTGCATCTGCCGGAGAGGCAAGGAACCAACAGTCTGTATTCAAGAGAATGAGATCTGTAAAACTGATGCACACGCAACACTCAGGTTCTGGAGCAGGACTGCAGTTCAGTAGTGGAAGAGCAACCAGAACTTTCCGCCAGAGTTTACAGCTGGTGAACGCAAAGAAGAAGAAGACCTCATAATGCAGTGACCTAAAATGATGGTCTCTCAGTGACCACCCTTATGGCAGTGCTCTTTAACATTGTGTTTATCTTTACTTCAGGACCCCTAGCAGTGTGTCATCATCAACTCTGGAAAGGCGACGGGTAAGTGTGTTTGCCTCGTTCACAGTATCTTATCTTTTTTTAAGAAACCGAACGCTTTTTCCTTGGTTATCTAGAAAAAAAACAATGCCAAAAGCTTATATTTTTTTTAATTTCGGGTTTTCTTAAACAAAAAATGTAATAAAAAAAAATTCCTATCAAAACACAGTTTTACACAGGTTACAAATATAAATCAGAACAATTTTATTTGTGGATAAAACCAATATTTACTTATGTACAAAATAACAGGAGTAATCAATAAACATGAATGCAAGAGAGTATTGACGGTTAAATTTCTCTAAGATGTGAGCTTTAAATGAATGTTTAGCATGATTCACTCTTGACACTGTAACTAGTGGGAAATTCTGCTGACCTGATTTATATAAATAAAGCCATTTTCCAGAAGGAAACCCCGACCTAGATGTTATTGTTAACGTGTGCTCATTCTCATTCTAAAAATGGAAACAATTATGTTAGCTGGGATGCTGATAAACAAGTCTTTATAGCAAGCCTAGAAAGGGACATTTTTAAGGCCATCAGCTTGCTGTCGGCTACGTTTACTTCCCAGGACATTTCCTGGTATACATTTTAGTCTTGGTTGACCTGGGAGCCGAGGTCAGTTATTATATTTGACCCTGATCTGGATTCAGACCCAAGACATTCGGGTCGGCAGGCAAGCATCTGGCCGCATCACCATGTCTCCTGCTGATGGTGTTGTTGTAGTTGTATTCTTGAAGTTCTTTGAGTCATGAAAACTTTTTTCTGTTTCAGAAAATTGAAGAGTCTGGCAAGGAAGTGGTTGTAGGTGCAACAAGGGTGGATGCTGAAGCTTTAGTGAATGAGCTGTTGGAGAGCACGAATCTCGACTCTACCGAGATTGATGATGGTAAATGGAAGAAATGTATTCCTATCTGTTGAAAGAAACTGTGGATATGAGGTGTGAGGACATAATGGATGTGAGAATAGTGTGAATGGTTTAAAAAAAAAAACATTGAAGGAGCAGAATAAATATGTCAGTCTATCTATATATCTATCTGTATTCTCTTCATGTCACAGTTGACACATAAGGCATTCACAAGTGATCTCCATTGTAGACAGTCTCCTGCTTTTTTGCCCACGTTATCCCATGTCATTTTACATTCCTTCATTTCCCTTCCAAATGGTGACCCTTAAAAAAACATTTTGTTTGTTTGTTCTCATTTGTTGGTTCTCCAGCCCTTCTCCAAATTTCCTTAAGTCGTCCATGTCCTCTTTTTTTCCATCTACCATCCACCGGACATCTGCCCTTGCTTAAGTATAACAAGGCATTCTGCAAAGATGTCCAAGCCATCCCCTTTGTGCTTTGATAGCTTGTGCCATTGGTGGACTTTGTTTTCCTCCTCATTTCTTCATTTGTGATCTGTTCGGCCCAAATATTCATAATATTCAATAAAGGGAATCTCTGCTAGTTGCTGAAGATCAGTACAGATCACCTATGGGAATGTCCCAAGTACTTTGATGTCATTTCCTTTCAATGACCAGTGTCTTTTTTTTACTTCTAGTCTCCTTTTGACTTCTAATCTTCTTTTGACTTCTAGTCTCTTTTTGACTTCATTATTGTTAACTATTGTTAGGACCCCTGGTCTCTGGCTAGTAAGATCGGACGCCCGTGTGTATTGTTGTGACATAAAAAATCCCTTGGCAGTTGGAAATCGCAAAAGAGTAGCTTAACAGCACTGCCCAGGCAAAATTTTCAGTTAAAAATCTACCCAAAGTATTTCAGGATCCTCGCCGGTGCTACAGAGTTCATGCACTGCGCTGAGATTCTTCAGATTCAGGGACGAGTCAGAAGTAGAACAGAGCACTTATGGTTACACCCGTGTGCCATGATGTTGATCCATTGAATAAACATAAACTTTCAACTCTGACACAGGTGATCTTTCATGCCATGATGTCAAACTGTCTAGCATCTTTTCTCTCGCTCTGCCTTTCCTCCCCTCCAACTTTCCTACTGTCATGATGTACTCCAGTTTCCTCTTCTTCATCACTCTTTCTAGTGTGTACGATTGATTCTTTTCATGGGTCAGTTTTGTTTAAGACCCTCATTACTCTTTTTATCTGTCCAAGGTATTCTCATCATTCGTCTATAAAACCAAATCTCCGCAGCTTCCAAATAAGTTTTCACGAATCTACCAACTGTTTCATGATTCCAAGCCATGATTTCCTTTTTAAATATCAATATAGGATTTACATAGTTTGTAAGAATCCGCTTTCTCTTTTCAATTGACAAAGAAAGATTGCTTAAAATATTCTTCATTTTGTAAAATGCTGCAATCTTCTGGTATAAATTATATGTATTTGGATCCATCTGTTATATTTTTATCTAAATATTATGTATTTGGATCCATCTGTTATATTTTTATCTAAATATTATGTATTTGGATCCATCTGTTATATTTTTATCTAAATATTATATATTTGGATTCATCTGTTATATTTTCTTCCACAGCTTCAGGACTTCAGCTGTTGGTTCAGAAGGATGGAACAATGGCTCTTAGATAGTCTGATGTCCCATAGACACAAAGCACATTGTGGTTCTTTTCCTCCTCTTCCTAACCACCAAGAACAGCACTGTCCTCATTCTAACCGTGCAGGATAGTACTTTCCTCATTCTAATCCTCTTATTTCTAATCAAGAACATTGCCGTCCTCATTCCGGCCACCAAAAATATTGCAGATCCCACTGAAGCCATCATGAACATTGCTGTTTTCATTGTAGCCATCCATACTATAGCAGATTCCATTGTCATCTTGAAGAATTTTGTAGTTCTGATTGTAAGCATCATGAATATTGGTTCCCACCAGAAACATTGCAGTGCTCATTGCAACAGTCCAGATAATTGCAATTTCCATTATAAGCACAAAGAACATTGCATTGCTCATCATTGGAAAAAGAAAATCCAAATAATTGCAATTCCCATTGTTACCACAAAGAACATGACAATGTCTATTAACCAATCAAAATAATTGCAGTTTTTATTGTTACTACCAAGAACATTGCAGTCTTCATTGTAACAATCCAGATAATTGCACTTCCCATTGTTACCATCAAGAACATTGCAACATCTGTTGAATCATCAAGAATGTTTTGGTTCTGAATGTAGCCACCAAGATGCATTTCCAGCCGTAACAATCAAGAACATTGCAGCAACTTTTGTGTCATCAAAAATATTGCAGTTCACATGGTGACCACCAAGAACATTGCAACACATTTTGTGTCATTACAAATCATATGGTGACCATCAAGAACATTGCAACACTTTTTGTGTCATCAAAAATATTGCAGTTCATATGGTGACCACCAAGAATATTGCAACAACATTTGTGTCATCAAAAATATTGCAGATCACATTGTGACCATCAAGAACATTGCAACACCTGTTGTGTCATCACAAATGTTGCAGTTCACATTGTGACCATCAAGATTATTGCAACACCTGTTGTATCATCAAGAATGTTGTAGTTCACAAGGTGACCATCAAGAACATTGCAACACCTACTGTATCAATACAAATTAAACAATTCATATGGAATGACCATTAAGAACATTGCAACACCTGTTGTATCATCAAGAATGTTGCACTTATCATATTGACCATCAAGAGCGTTGCAACACTTGTTGTGTCATCAAAAAATTAGCAGTTCATATAAGGTAACCATCAAGAACATTGCAACACTTGTTGTGTCATCAAACATGTTGCACTTCACATGGTGACCATCAAGAACATTGCAAAACTTGTTGTGTCATCAAACATGTTGCACTTCAGATGGTGACCATCAAGAACATTGCAAAACTTGTTGTGTCATCAAACATGTTGCACTTCAGATGGTGACCATCAAGAACATGGCAACACCTGTTGTGTCATCAAACATGTTGCACTTCACATGGTGACCATCAAGAACATTGCAACACTTGTTGTGTCATCAAACATGGTGCACTTCAGATGGTGACCATCAAGAACATTGCAACACTTGTTGTGTCATCAAACATGTTGCACTTCAGATGGTGACCATCAAGAACATTGCAACACCTGTTGTGTCATCAAACATGTTGCACTTCAGATGGTGACCATCAAGAACATTGCAACACTTGTTGTATCATCAGGAATGCTGGAATTTCCATCATAACCACCATGGACATTGTCACCCTCAATAATTTTTCATTGTAGTTATCAAGAATATTGCAGTTCTCGTCCTGACCACCTAGAGCCTTGCAGTATAACAACCTACCTGATAAAACTGTCGCCATCCCCAACCTAACAGAAACATTCTAACCTCCAAGAGCGACCCAGCCCTCATGTTGCTTATTGTATTTTCACTGTTTTGTCTAGCGTATAATTTGTGTCCGACAAGCTCTAATAAAACAGTCACCAAGGCAGATCATTCAGTGTTGGGCTTAACCGAGATCTTCAACAAGCAGAAGGGGTTAGCTTGCTGTCAGTGTTGTTGCTTGCATCAGGTTACTCCCACATCACTCGACTGTGAGCAGATTGTTTTGTTTTTTTTTATATTGAAGAAGCCTTTTAATAAAGTAAAGGATTTTTTTCACTCTATCAGGCATGTGGTATCGAACCCGTTTTATTTTTTATTTTTGTTGTTGTTTTGTTTACAGACCAACTAGCACTAAATTTGATCGATCTGGGAGCCCTAGGCCGAGAATAAAAATCAACCTCACTGTGGATTTGAACCCAGGACCTTCAGGTTGACAGGCTAGGGTCTAGCCACTGTACCACCATGGGTCTCTAAGCCTTTTGAATACCGGAGAGGTTGGGGGGAATCGGATGATAAGCTGACACCTACAACCTGTGACCCAGAGGTTAATTTGATGATGCAAATGTACGGGAATAGCTTCCCCTTCATGCTGCGTCCTGCAATATAGGCTTTGTGATGACTTGTAAACTGTTTCTTCATTTCTCCTGTGTTCAATTTGTTTGAGAACGAACAAAGAAGCACCAACTCTGTGATGTATCTACAGTTTGTGTGTGGTGATGTATCTACAGTTTATATGTGGAGATGTATCTACAGTTTGTATGTGGAGATGTATCTACAGTTTGTATGTGGTGATGTATCTACAGTTTGTATGTGGTGATGTATCTACAGTTTGTATGTGGTGATGTATCTACAGTTTGTATGTGGTGATGTATCTACAGTTTGTATGTGGTGATGTATCTACAGTTTGTATGTGGTGATGTATCTACAGTTTGTATGTGGTGATGTATCTACAGTTTGTGTGTGGTGATGTATCTACAGTTTGTATGTGGTGATGTATCTACAGTTTGTATGTGGTGATGTATCTACAGTTTGTATGTGGTGATGTATCTACAGTTTGTATGTGGTGATGTATCTACAGTTTGTATGTGGTGATGTATCTACAGTTTGTATGTGGTGATGTATCTACAGTTTGTATGTGGTGATGTATCTACAGTTTGTGTGTGGTGATGTATCTACAGTTTGTGTGTGGTGATGTATCTACAGTTTGTATGTGGTGATGTATCTACAGTTTGTATGTGGTGATGTATCTACAGTTTGTATGTGGTGATGTATCTACAGTTTGTGTGTGGTGATGTATCTACAGTTTGTATGTGGTGATGTATTGTTGTTATTCATCCATCACGAGTGATGAAGACCATTTTTCATCCAAAGTAGCAATGATCAATGATTATGAGTACAAAGATGGCTGATTAGTCCATTATGAGACTGGAAAGTTCTTGAGCAGTGCGGACAACAGGGGGAAGCCGCAGTATAGGTGTGATTAGCGATACAATTCTTTTTAGTCTGCCTCCATTTCTCTGCCTGTGCAACCTCAGCTGCCTGGCAGGCTGATGCGCCATGCCTGAGGGATCTACATCACCCAGAACGGTCCTGTGCAGCAGCCTCCCATGTCGCTGTGTTGATGCAAAAAGAATTGAGAGCAGTTTTGAGAGTGTCCTTATAGCGCTTTTTCTGTCCTCCCTGGGACCTCTTCCCTTGCTGGAGCTCACTATAAAATACTCTCTTTATGAGGCAAAAGTGTGGCATGCGGGTTAGGTGATCAGCCAAACGCAGCTGATAATTCTTCAGTATCATGCGGGTTTGCGCTATCAAGAACCACAGTGTTTGGTATCCTATCTTGCCATTTGATTTTGAGCAGCTTTCTGAAACAAGTTATGTGTAACTGATTCAACTTTTTAGCATGTTGCTGAAAGACAGTCCACATTTTGCAAGCGTAGAGTAGTACTGGAACTTCTATTCCAGACGCTGGTAATAAAGTCTGCCGAAACTGCTGCTGGCCTTTGAGATTCTAGCATTGATCTCATTGTCAGCGTTGACTCTCTGGGGTAGGGTACTGCCAAGATAAGTGAATCTATTGACTACATTTAACTTTTGTATATTTAAGGTGATAGTGTGATCGCAGTAATTTTTTTTTGTGAGCTGGTAGATAAATAACAACAATTTTATCAGTGTTGATAGTTAGCCTAAAGTTGGTACAGGTTCAGAAAATCTATTCATCTGCATTCTGGCCTCATCTGGAATTTACAGCACAGTCCTGGATCGTCATCATCAAAGGCAAGCATTGCAGCAAATTTCATACTAAACAAGGCTGGTGCAAGCACACATCCCTGCTTTAAGCCATTTGAGACAGGGAAAGGGTCTGACAATTTTCCTTTCTCCAGCACTCTGGCCTGCACACCTTCATGGAACTGCTGTACAATCCTGATAAACTTCTGAAGACAGCCAAATTTAGCCTTGATTTTCCACAGTCCTCCTCTACTGACTGTATCAAAGGCATTTGTGAGGTTCTCTACTGACTGTATCAAAAGCCTTTGTGAGGTCCTCTACTGACTGTATCAAAGGCCTTTGTGAGGTCTATGAAGGTAGAATAGAGGCTGCAGCTTTATTCTTGACACTTTTCCTGGGTGATTTATCTACAGTTTGTATGTGGTGATTTATCTACAGTTTGTATGTGGTGATTTATCTACAGTTTGTCTGTGGTGATTTATCTACAGTTTGTATGTGGTGATTTATCTACAGTTTGTCTGTGGTGATTTATCTACAGTTTGTATGTGGTGATTTATCTACAGTTTGTATGTGGTGATTTATCTACAGTTTGTCTGTGGTGATTTATCTACAGTTTGTATGTGGTGATTTATCTACAGTTTGTATGTGGTGATGTATCTAGTTTACTAGTGATGTACCTACAGTTTGTATGTAATATACCTAGTTTGTATGTGATGCATCTCCAGTGTGTTTGTGATGATGTATCTACAGATTGTACATGATATATCATCAGTTTGTATGTGGTAATTTGTCTAGTTTATTAGTGATGTACCCACAGTTTGTATGTAATATATCTAGTATGTAATGTATCTCCAGTGTGTATGTGATTATGTATTTACAGATTGTACATGATATATCTACAGTTTATGATATTTTTGCAACTTAACATTGGTATGTTTAATACAAATGTGAGTTCTTGTGTGTAATTAGTTAATGGATGTTGACAGATATTGGCACAGTCCTTTA